TGAAATTGAAAGCAGCGCCCACTTACGGAGTGAACCACCGCCGTGGCTGTGCCGAGTTGAAAGGCGAAGATCTCAGGTCCCTCTGGGTCTAGCAGGCACCACCAGGGGCTTTGTGCAGAAAGGGTGATTGGAAGCCATTTATCTCTGCAGCCTCAGTGTTCTTGGACCTCCGATGTGTGGAAGGAAGTTGTAAGTCCCTTCCTGGTAGTTTCCTGCCACACCCCCTTTCTGGCACTGCATATTGGAAGTGTGAGAGAACCAGCGTTCCTTCAGAAGTGTCTCTACCTTAATTTTTGGGACAAGTCCTTTCTCCGGACCTGAACCACTCCAGCAAAACCAGCTGACTCTGTTTCAGTGTTATTTTTGTTATTTTTTCATTGGCTCTTTAAGAATTTCATACAATGTGTTTTCATCCTCGTCACCCCTCCCCCAGCTCCTTCAAGACCCACCTTTGCCTTCTTCCTTCCTACCCTACTTTGTGTCCTCCTTTTTTTCCATCCAAGTCCAATTTGTGCTGCACGCACATCTTTGGGTGTGTGGTCTTCCAGCCAGCAGCTGTCCATTGCCAATAGCTCCTCTTCTAGGAACAGCGATTGAGTCCCCCCCACTCCACGCTGGGATTTGGTCCGGCTTGAGCTAGTTCAGAGCTTGTGCATGTTGTCATGGTCACTGGGAGCTCACATGGGCCGCTGCCCTGTCCTGAAAACAGCATCTCCTTACAGTCTTCTGCCACCCCTAGTTCTTACTGTCTCCTCTTCTGCTCTGACCTCTGAGTCTGGGGAGGAGGGGTTATGATAGAGAAGACCCACTTAGGGATGAGCACCCCACAGTTATTCTCTGCCCTGCAACCAGTTGTGGGTCTCTGTGTTAATCACCATCTGCTGCAAATAGAAGCTTCCGTGAGGAGAGCTGAGAGAATGAACACGGGTATAACGATAAGCCACTAAGAGTCGGTTTGATATCGTTTCTTCCTTCGGCATTTCTGTCTCAGTGCACAGTTGTTACACCAACCCGGCTTAGGTCTGGCATGTCATTGAAGTTTCTAACCCACCAGTCGTCAGAGTCACAGGTGACTTCTAAAGGCATCCCTTAGGACTGCTTTCTCCAGCATGAAGTGCTTTTGAAAATAAGGCAAACGGAGAGAAATAATTACAACCAAGACAGATCAGTGGCTTCTCAGGAAACCTGAGATGTTTGCTTCCACTGAAATGGGAAGAACACTTTTGTTTCTTGGGTTTTGGTTTTTGGTTTTTTTTTTAATGTCAAGAAAAGTTTTTTTTGTTTGTTTGTTTGTTTGTTTTGTTTTGAAGTAGATGGTGAAGCAAAGGTGTTTGGGGTACCCTATGCTGTTAGGTAGAGTTTCTGGTTTCAACTTCCTGTGGACACTCTGATCTAACTCTCCTTTTGTTCCCCAGTAAATAGAATGCAAAATACAGTTTGTTCCCTAAGGGCCTTGGGTTCAAATGGTGTGGTTCTCTCTGAAGAAATACCCTGGGTGTCGTTGAGAACCGTGAAGTCCTTTCTAAGCATCACAGTATTCCCAGAAAGGTTTTCTGTTAGGCAGAGGCTACCTGTCTGCTTGGCTTCCTATCAACAATGTGAAGCCAGAAAGATGACCAGCATCAACTGCAGACTCTCTCAAGTGTAGCCCAATCGTTTGAATCCACACACAGAAAGCACACAAGTAGCTCTACTCCAGAGTATCTTTAAACACAAGCATTGCAGTCATTTTGGAAAAATCAGCAATAAAGATATAATAATCCATAAACTAAGAAAATCTACACACCTTTTTGTAGATAATATTTTAACTAAATTGTATTGTATTTCCTGGTTTGTCTTTCCACCTATCCTTTCAGACTAACAAATCTGACCCTGGAAGAGTAACGAGTGGTTATTAAACCATCTGGTTTGTAGTTTTCTGGGTCCCTGAGTTTATTTCACCTTCATGGTCACTTCTTGAGGAGGAAACATCATGAAAATGAAGATACTAAAGCCCAAAGAGGCTGAGTGGGACACGGAAATAGAAATAGAAACACCTCGCCCACGCTGGCTGTTGTATCTCCCCACTTGCGCTTGTATCTGAGCTTCGCTCTTTCCCTCCACGGAGGCTTGAAGGCAGGGAAGGGGCAGGCGCACCCCAGGGAGAGAAGACGCTAAGCGAACAGGGCGATCCTGTGTATTCTTTGTAGCCTGGGGAGATGTGACTAAAGTTAGAGGCATGGCCTTCAGGAGGATTTTAGCTTTCAGTATTTTGATTCTTTGATTACTATTTAAGCCTGAGTGCCTACGGTTAATTATGTTTATATTCATCTTCCTTAATGTTTGCTGAGTAATGAAGACCATTGCGTTTGGTAATAGAATTTCACAAACGGGGCTCTATGAAATGACCAATCTTCCACAAGTTTTATTCTCCCCCCACCCCCCCACCAAAAGATAATGCCTTATTTTGCTTATTGGCCCTTTTCTCCAGTATCTTGTTCACTATTCAGTATTGGAATGCAGCTGTCGCTATGAGATCTAGCCCAGCCTGTGTTACACAATGAGACCTACCTATTGGCTAAAAACAATAACATATCACAGGACACATAATAGGTGACATATTCCAAAGGAATATATTGTTAACTGTCTGAATGTAAGTGCAATAATATATAAAAATAAAATGTGTATTACAGTGGCTTAGTGTTTGCATGGAGTTTTTCTTAATAAACAAACATGTAAAGTAGGAAAGAATATGTTACAAGCTCAAAGGGTTCTTAATCTTTTTGGCCTGACTCCATTAAGGTGTTCTTGGCTTGAGAAATTTCACATTCTTCAACACTTCTCTCGGATATTTATGAGGCCGATGGAACATTCTTTTCACAATTCTGTGTGATTTTGTTTACGAACTGGGTTGCAAGCAGAGGGAAAGTAAAAATGAGTTCCAGAAATGCACTTCTAAGAAGTTAAATACACGGGTGTTCCAGTTTGCTCTCTGTTGGTGTGATGGACGCCATGACCTCAGGCAGCTAGAGGAGGAAGGGGTTGATTGCCCGCTTCGAGGTTACAGTCTAAGATCGAGACGAGAGGCAAGCCAGGGCAAGAAGCTCAAAGCAGGAACTTAGATCAGAAACCACAGAGGATCACTGCTTAGTAGATTGCTTCCTCTGGCTTCCTCAGCTACCTTAAACAGCCCAGGCCCACCTGCCTAGAAATGGCAGCCCTCACAGTGAGCTGGGCCCTCCCACATCAATCAACAACCAAGAAAATGCTGCCCCCAGTCATGACCGCAGGGCAATTAGATGGAGGCAATTCCTCAGCTAGCGTTTCCTTTTCTCAGGTGCGTCTAGGTTTGTGTCAGATCAGCAAAACTGAACTCTGACAATGGTTATGACTAGCAACGGTAATCACTTGAGGGAGGAAAATTAAACTAAGTAGAAATTGACTCAATTGAAGTTCTTCCTTGCCATTAAAGTGTTCAAAATTTAGGTTCCCAATAAACCTGAGGAGAGAGCTGGGGTGAAGTTTAGGTGGTAAGGTGCTTGCTTAGCGTGTTAGAGTAAGCTGCACATTGAAATCCTTGTTAAACAGAGAAAGTAATTTGTGAAAGAACAGTGAGAGAGAGGAAATACGCTGGGGAAAATTGGCTTCATCTAAAGGGTTATGGGAATAAAGAATTGAAGCAAAGCACAGAAAAGTAGAAAAACAAAAATAGCAATCCAAACAAATGTAATCAGAACAAAGAAACATAAATTATATTTTTAAAATACTAATGAAAATTAAGAGACTTTAATCATAGAATTTTATATTAAATAAACTCCAAACTATAATATCATTTAGTGAGATGGAAAACTATTATGTAATATACCAGAAAACTGACAAAGTTGAGCCAGAAAATATCAGTAGCATAGGTTTAAAATTGGTTTGAAACATGTCCAAGACAGTGTTTGACTTTAGGTGTAGTGTTTGGTTTTTTTTTTTTGTGTGTGTGTGTGTGTGTGTGTGTGTGTGTGTGTTGTCTCTATAACAGCAATGTGTTGAAAGTGAAAGCCAACAGAAGTATAAATTCATGAATGTTTTCAGGTGAGATTTTAATATTAAATTATTGCAAATTAAGTCATCAGAAAGTTAATAATGACGTTGGAAGTTAAACATACAACACTGGGTCATGATCACCTCTGTGAACTTTCTGTCGACTCTTAGATAATCTTCACTCTTTCCAATTATCCAGGGAATGTTTTCAAAGACAGCACATTCCAGGCAGGCCATAAAAGGACATTTCAATGAGTAATTTTTAAAGCCACATAGATTATAATAGCTGACCATAATATAGCAAGGTAGGAACTGAATTCCAGAAAGGGAGAAGAGACAGTAGAGAGAAGAAGAGAAAGAGGAAGAAGAAAGAGGCCTGGTCTTCTAAAAGAGAAGGTGTTGGGAGAAGAGGGAAGATAAAGAGGGAAGAGGGGAGGGGAAGGGAGGGGAGAAGAAGGGGCAGAGACACAGAGAAACTGAGAAATACACTAACATAGTCTTGCATGTCTGGAAATTTAAAAATGGTTTGAAATTCTTTATGGGTCAAAAAGGAAACCGTGGTGGAAATTATGAACAATGCGCATTTGATTTGATTCGCGTGGCCATGTCTGGTAGCACAGTGAAAGCCATGTAGTGGTTTCCACAACCACGATTGCAGCTCTGATAGTCACTGCTGCTGACACGGGGACCTCCCCTGCTCTCGGATGTGGACAAAGGTCTACGTTAAAGGAAGCACACAATCAAGCAATCTTTATACATCAGATGCTTCTGAATCAGAACAAGACAAACAAAAGCAGGAGTGTATGTTTGCAGCCCGTCTGGTCTTCAGTCAACCAAAGACAACTCTTCCTCCAAAGTCATGGGCTGTAGAACACAGGGAGGAAAATGTGCAGAGATTTCACAGAGCTAACATCTGTCCTATTGTGTCGGCTCTGCGGAATCCTTGGGATGGCATTGCCAACACGCTTTCCATAACATCATAATGTCAACATTCCAAAGGAGTCCCGAGCCTCTCAGGGTCTAGGATGCCAGAGAAAGGATGGAGAGCCATTCCCACAAATCCTGGGGTTTTGTATAAAGGCAACGGCTAAGACGTAGGAAATAGCAAAACTCTGCCAACACTGTTGAGTCTGGATACCATCTTAAGAATGCCCCATTTCAATACTTGGAAGAGCACCCAAATGAGCCAAAGCTTGATGTCCCATGACAGCATCAGGTAATTACTCCTCTCTCTCCTTTGCTTTGTGTGGACAGGGCTGAGCAAAGGATGTGGGTAGCACAGACTTCCTGTGGCAGATTTGCTCAGTCAGCCAACCAAAATTTTATATATATTATTATATATAACATATATATTATATTATTATATATAATATATTTATGTATATTATATAATATATTATATATGTTTGTTATATATTTTTATATATTATAAATATATATTTTATATAACTTTTTCTTCTCTCATATACTACATCCCAACCACAGTTTTCCCCCTTCCCTCCACTCCTCCCAGTTCTCCCCAGCCTCATCTCTCCCCACCAGATATTTTTGACACAGGCAAAGACAACACATTATTAAAAGGATACCTTTGTAGATAGGTATTTTCTCTTCATATTGATTTCCTTTAATGTGATTACATGAAGATGACTTACTAAGTAAATTGGTGACAACGTTAAACAAAAGCTACCTGCCACACTTACTCTCTGATTCCGCAGCTCAAAGTGAAAGTTCAAGAAAGGATTAACCTTGTGAGTGAACCCCAAAACATGGGTCAACATTTACACAAAACGCTCAGACCTTTTTCTAAGAAGATGAAATTCATTAAAATGGTTTCTCAGACAAGGTTTCACTATGTAGACCAGGCTGGCCTAGAACCAGCAGAGATTCTCCTGCCTTTGTCTCATGAGCATTGGTATTAAAAGCACGCACCACAACAGCTGGCTCCTTGTTTTCTTTTGAAATCATACTCGTTTCCTCTGGAGCCTCCATCCATCCATCCCAATGGCAGAGAAAAATGGAAATTGTCAATGGAGTATTCCTTCTGCTGTCCCTGTTAGAAACGAGTCACTCTGAGATGAACTTAACTTCACTGAGAAAATAGCCACAATATTCAAGGAACACAACTTCCCCTCTGAGAAGTCCCTTTGGCCATTCCTTCTTTCCAAATACAGACAAAGAAATTTCCAGAAGATGGGAGAAGGAACTGGAAAGCATTGTTTATGGAGGAAGGCAGGAGAGTGATTCTGGGCAGGCCCAGTCACTGAGAAGACTGCAAGCTCCCCACATTACCAAGTGGAAAAGAAAATAAAAGTGTCCTGTGGCAAAGGTTCTTGGAGCCGTTGGTGTCCCAGGCTATAAGACTGCCCTTGTTCCTAAGCTTCTGACGAATGTTTGCTGGAGTTTAGCTAATCCCACTGTCCGTTGTGGAGTGTCCTGTTGGCATCTGCTACTGATGCCCAACATCACTCAGATCTCTGCTCCTCACATCACTCAGACCCGTGCTCTCTGTGTCCTTTTGAATCCTTGCCCTGGTCCCAAGCCTGGAATAGGGCAGTGTTGTCTTCAGCATGTTGGTGATCTCTTACTGAGGTAGAAAGGGATCCAGACCACGAGGAACCCTTCTTGGCCATGGTGGACACAGTGGGGATGCTGGGAAGGGTTGGGTCTCCAACACACTGTCTAAGGGTCCTTGAGTTTCTAATGTGTCAACAACCCCTGCCCTAAGTTTGCTTAAGCCTGGTAGAGTGGGGAAGCGCAGAGTGATTCTGCAGTGATCGGCTGTACCCTCTCAGAGTCTTTTGGCTTCCTCCCTCTTTGCTCCTCTTCTGTCCTTCCTCCTTTGTCAATGGTTTCCATTTCTTCTTCCTTTCTACCAGGAATTTCCACTTTCTCTGCTTGCTCTATCGGGTGACATTGATCTTCCATGATCTAGCTGGAGTCTGCTTTCCCAGCATTAGGATTGCCTGCTTATGCCATCATGTCTAACTTTAAGAAAAACAAAAAGCATGGATTCTGAGGATCAAACCCAGGTCCTCAGTCCTGCAAGGCAAGTATTTTATCAACTAAGTTACCTTCCTAGCCCTCCACCTCTCTCTGATAGTTTCTTACTATGGAGCCCAGGCTAGACTCAAACTCAGGATATTCCTGCCTTAGCCTCCTGATTCTCCCGGATGCTGGTATCACAAGGACACCTCATCCATGCCTGTAATCTACCTGTCTATCCATGCCCATCGACCCTTCATTGTTTAATTTTCACAGCACACAAGAATATTCCAGTGTAACCCATTGCTGGACAAGAGTAGACTCACCCATCTCTTCAACACCCTCCACTCATGACAGCAGGGCTACCAATAGACCTTCCAGGGTTCCAAACACAGACTGTATTTTCTGTCAAACTGACGGCCATATTTGCAAGTCCAATATTTATAATATGATGAATAAAATAAACATGGGGGTTCCCAGCATGAATTAAGTGGCATGCTAAGTGCTTTACATGAGTTATAGCAGTTACCTTTCCCAACAACCCAGCAATTTGCATATCTATAATTATCCATACTTTACTGATGACAACATGGGGTTCAAAGACATGAAGTTAAAAAGTAGAAGACAGCAGAGCTAAGCACTGAACAGCTCAGGCTTCTCTATCCCTGCAGAACTTGTGTGTTATACCAACTGCAGAGAACTGAGCCCTGTCCTGCAGTGAAATTCTAGACCCGCAAACCAGAAGTCCCTTGTAACAATCCATTCTTTCAAGTCAGGTGCCTTGCCCTCTGTGGTCCCCAGAATTATGCATTCTGCTCCACCGATTGCTAACCAACCACCCAAATGTTATACTTCCTAGAAGCACCACCATCACTGTCAGAACAGCAAACAGAAGCAGAGATAAGCGGTGCGAAGCGCAGGACAGTGTGTCCTCGGATGTGGGCAGCCTGGCAGCAAAGCAAACAGGCCTGGGAAATTTAATAGCAAGGCAACTCTGCTGGAGAATGCTATGGGGGGCTCCAGGGCCTTTGGCTTTTGTTTAAAATACTTGGTTCAGGAAGAAAAAGACTATCTGGGAGAGTAGATTTTAGAAAGCTGAGCTATACTCCTGAAATGCCACACTGCCCATGCTAAATGGGGAGACTATACCATCTTAGAGTATCAAGCACTCTCTGCCTTTTTTGCTTATCTATTTGGTGGGGGGGGAGAGAGAGAGAGAGAGAGAGAGAGAGAGAGAGAGAGAGAGAGAGAGACTGTTCTCTCTTCCCGCCCATATGACTCCCAGAGATCAAACTCAGGTCCTTACACCTGGCAGCAAGCACTGACTTTGACCTACTGAGCCCTTACTAGCTCACTTTCTTCTCCACCATTCTCATCCTTTCTAGATGTCCTGGCCAACCCTTCACTCTCCCTGTACGTGCATGCCCTCTAGCACGTCTGGTTCAAAAGCAGTAGCAAGATCTGGCCAGACAATCTGCAAGGAAAGGAAACCTATGATTACACACTTCCTTCTGCTGTCATTTGCAGAACGTATTGTCGATCCTTGACCCACCTCGAATGCCCCAGACTGGGTGTCTCAAGCTCTGTGATCTGTTCTTCAAGTCTTTCTAGCATGGCTTTCAGAGTTACAGCAACAAACGGCAAGGCTTTTGTTTGTGTGTTGCCAAAAGACTTCATTCCTTCATAACACTAGTAACAGGTTTCCCCAACTTAGGGGCTCCTAAGCTTCATCTCCAACCTTCCTATGAAAATCCTTCTCTTTAAGAGTTCTCCAGCATCCAGCAACACCAACAACCCACCTTGAACAACTGTTCAATTCCAAACACTAGCAATGGGGCCAGGGAGGTGACTCAGTGGGTAAAATGTTTGCCTTGCAAGCCTGAAGACCAGAGTTTGGCCACCAGAACTCACATAAAAATGCTGGGCATGGTGACAATCTCCAGCAATCCCAACATTGGGGAATTCAAAACAGGAGGATCCCTGGAACTCACTGGTCAGCCAGTCTAGATTAACTAGTGAGTTTCTAGCCAATGAGAGAGGCTATCTCAAAGGAAGTGGTTACATTCCTGAGGATGGCACCGAAGCTTGTCCTCTGGCCTTCACATATATACATGCATATGAGAGACTTGTGTACCAGAACATACACATGAACACGTCCATATGTAAAGAAATACACTGGCCTCTCCCTTGAGTCCTTCTTTCCTCAATCTCCTCAACTCAATGTGTCAGCAAGTCTCATCAGCACTGCTTCCAAAACCATCATCCATCGGGCCTCCCTAAGCCACCTCGTGTGACTCTGGTCCTGGGCACTCTATCAACTCCCCACTCCCTTCCTCCCTTCCTCTCTCCCTGTTCCATCCTTTTTCTCTTCAACCTATTCTTCAAAGGTCATCCAGATTAGTTTTCATAAAATGCAAATTCCAGCATGACACTCTCCCCTTTTTCCCATCACGTTCAGAATAAGATCTAAAATCATACTTATTACCCATGGGGCTGTGTGGCTGGGCTCGAGGTTTCTCCTTAGCCTCATCCACTTCCCACCTCAGCCACTCTGCCCACAGTGCTTCTCTCTGCTCCTCAACTATTCTTAAATTCTGCTTCAAAGACTCCCCCGCCCCACCCCATGTGCACTGTGCAATTCCCAGTCTCCATCTGAGTGGCTGCCCTGAGCCTCAGGGTCTCTGCTCTAACTCCTGTTGCCAAAGAGCCTTTTCCAACCATCTCATTTGAGCATCTCTCTTCTACTGTAGCGCCTGGATTTCTTTCTGGCAGCTTCCATAAATTCAGTTACCTTACTGATTTATTTACTGACTCTGTCCTGTTGTGGCTCTAATGTCCGGCATAGATCCTGGAGGGAAAAAGAGATAACAACAAACAAACAGATGACAGACAGACAGACAGATAGATGTTACTACATTTGCCAGTGGACTACCTATTCCACCTTCAATAAAGCATATATTAGAAACAAAAACCAAAAAGGAAGAAATACCACTACTTCTAAAAAAGAAAAACTTGTTAAGGTTGCAGAAGACATTTTCTGATTACATTGAGGGGAATGGTAATAAATATGTTCACTTTCAGAGAGATAGAAATCTGGCCACACTCTCTTAGTTACTGAATTTGGGGCCTTTTGAAAATTATTATTTTCTCATCAATTGGTGCGGGAGAATTATCTGTATTCTGTCAATCATGTATTTTAATAAAACGCTGATTGGCCAGGCAGGAAGTATAGGCGGGAAAACCAGACAGGAAGTAGAGGTGATGCAGTGAGAACAGGAGAATTCTGGGAAGCAGGAAGCTTCCTCTGCCATTCCCTGCCCAGATCACAGAAGAGGCAACATGTGAGCTGCCACGCTGAGAAAGGTACTGAGCCATGTGGCTAACATAAATAATGATAATGGGTTAATATAAGTTACAAGGACTAATAAGAAGCCTGACGTAATGGGCCAATCAGCTTTATAACTTATAGAGATCTCTGTGTGATTGATTTTCTCTTTGGGGCATGCCGGCTGTGGGGTACCAGGTGGGACAGATACCCCAACAAGCCGGCCCACATGTTACAATCAATATTTTATAAGTAGAATTTTTGACCATCAGTAGCTGTCCTCTGGAACAACATCCCAACTCTCAGGAAGCCCCTGAATGACTCCATTCCTCTTGACAAGGCCTGGCTTAATTGAGTCCTATGGGCTCAGATAGATTTGCACATGTGTCTAATAAGGTAGCTGGCCAATGCCTCGCTGCAGCTTTGTAAACAAAAATCCCAAGGCATGTGGAGCTCTTTCAGAATGGGCCGCTGGAGAAATGCATAATCACTTATTTATTGAGTGTAGATTTCCTTAACGTTCCAAACTATGCCTCAGGGTTGTCAGTTCAAATGTCACAGCTTGCCAGAAATGTGGAGGAATCAAATGAGCAAGACATAGAACAGATGTTTTTCTAAGCTTAACAATTCTGTTTTCCTTTGAAAAAAAAAATGCCCAGCTCCCCACCGCCGTGTTTACAGGAATTGCTGAAGTTGAATTTTGGAGAGGAACAAGGGTATCAGAAGGGAGCAAAGCTTTGGAAACTACAATGCCGGAAACCAAGCTCAAACCCATAAAAGGCAACTGGTAGAGCTTCTCACATCTGGATGCAAGAGGAAAACATCGGGTCCCTGTACAGTAGTGTGTAGTCCAGAGGCTGATGAGGACAGAAGGGGCCATCTAGAAGTCTGATATTTCTAAATCCCAGTAACCACAGACGAAATAATAGGGCTTGAACTTAGTTTCTTTGGTTTGGACAGAAAAAATAATAATAAACACAAGAGACATATTATCATTTAGTAATCCTGCAGATGGATGGACTAAGCTCAAAATACCAAAGAAAAATTATGTCCTGCCTTCTGAGCCTTGACCCAATTACTGGACACCCTGATGCAATCCTAAAATTCCTTTAATTAATCTCAGGCTAGCCTGACCCTACCCAAGCACACCCTTAACCAATCCCAAAACCGCCTGATTCATTCAATCCCAGGACACCTTGACCCAATCCTAGGACAGCCTATCCAACCCCAGGACACCTTTAGCCAGGGCTAAGACATCTGACTCAACCCCAGGGTACCCGTAATCAAGCCCAGACATAATCTTCTCAGATAAAAGTGCATTCTTTCGATTTTTCTGGTCATGATTGTGGATTTTGGGTTTCTCAAAAAGGGAGAATACAAGTCAGGCCTGGTGGTACAGACCTGTTGTCTCAGTTACTTGGGAGCCTAAAGGAAGATTATCCCAAGTGCAGTTGGCTGCATGTTAGCAAGAACCTGTCTAAAAAGGGGAAACAATGAATTTCTTAAAGCTAGTTGGGGTTGGGAACGTGGCTCCATTAGTAGAAGGTTTGCCTAGTACACACACACACACACACACACACACACACACACACGAGAGAGAGAGAGAGAGAGAGAGAGAGAGAGAGAGAGAGAAGAGAGAGCCGGGTTTAGTGCCCAGAATCGCTTAAAAGAACATAATGGCACACATGCAATCCTAGCACTCCAGAGGTTAAGTTAGGATTTGAAATCCAAGGGAATATAGTTCATCAGAAGCAGAGAAATTGCCTATTATACTCCAAATCCTAAATTTAGTTTTCTCTCTTTCCTCTCTCTATCTCTGTCTCTCTGTCTCTTTCTCTCTCTCTCTCTCTCTCTCTCTCTCTCTCTCTCTCTCACACACACACACACACACATGCACACCCCTCAATTCTCCCTTTCCTGTAGTTAATATTTTCAATCACTTGTTTTTGTTTCTCTCTACCCTAACCCACCCAATATGCTCCCATCTGCCCATCAAATATAGATTGCCTAGCTCATGCCAAGGACAGCACTATGTGACCGAGAAACAGTTGCTCGGAGTAGGCAGAAACTGGGACCTCGTGGTGTCAAGAATTTCACAAAGGAGTAGACGTGTGACCTGAGCATTAAACTGTGGCTGGCTATTATATAACTGGATTTACTCAAGAGGCATTAGTGACCAGAGAAAAGGTAGATCTGCCCCCTGGAAATCTAAGAATGGGAGGTGTTGTGGACAGCATACAAAGGAAGTGACTCTAGGTCTTCCCAGGAGAATGGAGACAGGATTAGAGTTGGAGAGTTGGCAGAAGGAGGGAAACTGCTGCATTCTGGGTGGAGGGAGAAACTTGGGCCAAGTTACAATGATGTTCAGGAGTCTGGAACATCCTTAGCAAATACAGCAAGGACAGAGACATGAGCAGACCTGAATCAGGAAGAACAGTGGGGCTCTTGCAGAGAGAGATGGGTGCTTGGGAGTCCTGGAAGATCCATGTTTGAAGATCCTAAAAGACACACAATGGCCGGGCGGTAGTGGCCCATGCCTTTAATAGCAGCACTTGGGAGGTAGAGACAAATGGATCTCTGTGAGTCTGAGGCCAGCCTGGTCAGTCTATAAAACAAGTTCTAGGACAGGGTCCAAAGCTACAAAGAAACCCTGAAAAAAAAAAAAACAAAAGACAAAAAATTGATTTAATGTGGAAGAAAAAGTCGACAAATAACATCCTCAGTCAACAAAAATGAAACAAGTTAATGTGTTAACTTTCTATGGATGTGACAAAGTTCCTGCAGAAATCGGTGGAAAAGAGAGATGGAGTGATATTTCATTTGTATTTTAATAAGCAACGCTTGCCTGAAGTTCAGAGAGTAAAAAAAAAACCACACTGCTGAGCCTTACAGACCAGGCAGTGGTGACACACATCTTTAACCCCAGCACTTGAGAGGAATATAAGATGGGAGGAGACAGCTCTCACACACAGTCTCATTCTGAGATTCCTGGAGGCAGGATTGCCACTTCAGACTGAGGTAGAGGTAAGAGCCAGTGACTGGTCATTTTGCTTTTCTGGCCTTCAGGTTGAACCCCAATTTCTGTCTCTGGATTTTTATTAATTGTGTTACAGAGGAAGATTTGCTTTTGTTCATGAGCTCAGTGTTGGGTGGGTTGGCTTCATTATCTCTGAGTCTGAGTGCCAGAGTATCAAAGCATCTCAGTGAGATAGTCCTCATGGTGAGGAGGGAGCGGGCCGTAACTCTGCTCACCACATCATCAGGAGGCAGAAAGAGAAGGGGAGAAGAATACCACAAGTTTTTGGTACCTTCAACATGTGTGCTTTTGAGGGAGCATACCAGATCTGTCTCCGCATAGAACTCATGAGTTTAAATGGTTGGTCCCCAGCTGGAGGCTCTTTGGGAAGGCTGTGGAACCTTCAGCAGGCGGAGCCTCACTGGAGGAAGCTGGTCACTGGGGTGGGCATGGGGATTTATAAACAGCCCTGCCTGGCATTCCTGTTCATTTTCTGCTTCCTGATGACTGGTATGATGTGACCTGCCAGCCTTGCCAGCCTCCCATTCCTGCTATCAAGGCTTCCCCACCGTAATGGACTGTCTCCTCTCAAACTGTGAGTCAAAATAAATCCTTCCTCCTTCCTTCCTATAACATTGCTTTTGTAAAGTATTTGGTTATAGCAATAAGAAAAGTAGCTAAAAGTAACTAAAAGTTGCAAGGACTGGCGTCACCATTCCTCGAGACTGTGTGTTTACCCTCTCCCAGCAATGTCTTCTTCAATAATCAGTTGACATTACCAATTTCTTTTCTGTCCACATTAAATCACTCTTCATGAAGTTAGCTGGGGCGGGGGAGTGGTAAGTGGGCCCAACTCAATCTCTACCTCACTTGGCCATATACTGGGTGAGTTATTTGTAGGTCAGTGGGTCATTCTGAAATTATTTTATGGTGGACTTTATATTTTTCTCCACATGCAGGGTTTCTCATGAGAGGAAAAAGGAGAACAAAAAGCATGAAGACCTTTCAGAAGACCACCACTCCCCCCATGGTCAGATGCTACAGGACATGGAGGCTGTCTCGAGTACTGGGAGCAAAACTAAGGAGGCGGAAGAAGATGGAGCTGCAGAGGAAGGACCTTTACTTAGTAAAATAGAACCACGAAAAGATGTGAAAGGTGGGAGCCCATCCCTGGTACCCTCATAAGCACAGGGAGAGGGCTTAAAATCAAGATTCTGGAGCTGTGGGCCCTGCCCAGGACAAGGGGAAAGCTAGTGTCACAAGAAAACACTAATACATATATTATGTTTAGTATATTATACATATATAATGTGTAGCATATTATATATAATATGTAATATATATTGTTATAAAGCAAGTCTGCCAAGCTACTACCATCCATGGTGAAACTTTTTGGCTCAAAAACTCTACTTTCCATATTACTTGCTTTTTTCATTGTTATGAAACAATACCTGAAATAGGAATGGAGAGGTTATTTTCATGCACTTATCTTTTAAAATATTTTTGTTAATCCTTTGTGAATTTTACATAAATCTTTACTATATTCACCTCAATGATAATACTATAATAATAATACTATATTCACCTCAACTGCTCTCCCTAACTCCTCCCAGATCTACCTCTTCCAAATTTGTGTCCTTTTTTAAAAAAACAAAATCCATTGAGTTCAATTTGCGCAGTCTAATAACTCTTGGGTCACCACTGGAGCATGGTCAACCTTCCAGGGGCCACATCCTTCAAGAGAAATAACTTTCCCAGAAACTATCAATTGCCAATAGCTCCTCAGCAAGGGGCGGGACTTTGTTGGCACGCACCCCCATTCCATGCAGAGATTTATATATGTTTTGTACTTGCACAGTTATTATGCATACTGTGAGTTCATATGCAAAACTGTCTTGTTGTGTCTGGAAGACACTCTTTCAATCTAGCCATTCAATGCCTGACACTCTTGCATCCTTCTTATCCTCTCCTCCATGGCAATCCTTGAGCTTTGGGAGGAGGGGCATAATATAGAGGTCCCAGTTAGGGCTAAACTGTGAACACTGAACAGGTATGGGTCTCTCTGTTAATCAGTATCTGCTACAAAAAAAAAGCTTCTCTGATGAGGATTGATAGATGCGGTATAGTGACAAGTCATTAGGAGTTGCTTTAATATTATGTCCATTTAGTAGAATAATAGCAGTATGTTCTCTTCTAGGGCCAATGGCCTCTCTAGATACATGTTCTTGATTTGATAATGGTGCCCAGGTATAAGTTTCATCTTGTAGAGTGGGATTTAAAGCCAATTATAAAGTGAGTGGCTACTCCCATGATGTCCATACCACTATTGCACCAGTAGACATGTCTTAGCAGATCAGGTCTTATAGCTCACAGAGTTCACAGCTTGGTAAGACTTATGGTTACTTTTCTCCTCAAAGTATAGCATGTATAGCGCCTTTTAGTACAAAAAAAAAACCAACTTGTCAATAGGTATGGAACTTCTTTATATCTTAACTGTACCAATAACAGCGCCAGACTTTTGTGGAGCAGGCCTTTGATCTTATCATGTTGTTTGAAAGCATTGTGACTCAGATGGAAGGGGATTCTGGCAGTAGGGAACCAAGGAATGCTAAGTGCTTCAGCTTGGGTAGAAAAGCATTCCAGCAATCAGGGACCAGGGAATAATGAGTGTTACAGCTCAGATGGGAAAATCTTCTGGCAATCGGGAGCCAAGGAATTGCATAGGTAACACTTTATCATAGCAGCTTGCAACCCTGCTTTAGGGAAAGAGTTCCCCAATGTAACAGCCCTGCTCTTGTAGGGGGAGGGCTTTCCCAGTGAAGTTGTTACAGTTCGGCTCTGGGTTCCCTGTCCCCCACCACACAGACTGTAACAACTCTGCTCTTCTAGGGGAAGTTTTCCCCAGCAAAAGTGTCGCAATCCTGCTCTACCATGCTCTGCTCTGCTTTGCTCCAACTCCTGAAAAAGGTTACTTCTCTCCTCTGTTCCATTCTGACAAAAGTCTCACCCGAACCTTATTCAAGAGATTAATGGGGGGGGGGAATAATCCAAGAGAGTGGCTGCCTCTGCCAGCTGCAGACTGAACAGGTACAGGACTTAAACAGGGCTTCTTGGGGGAAGAGTTTTTCCAGGGAGAAGATTTTTAGGGTGGGAATTGACCTGATTTCAGTCCCTTGAGCTCAGAATGGCTAGAGCTCTGCTCAGGCATTAGTTGGTTCCACACAGGGATTGGTTCATTTCCTGCTCAGGAATTTGTTAGTTTTCTGCTTAGTTGGTCAGGGACAGATTTGACTCTGGCTTCAGGGCCAAAGTGTGTTGAGGGAGGCTGCCTGTTTGTTCCCAGCCACTTAGACCTGAAATGATCACTCAGAAGCTATATTATTTGCAATACTGTTTGACCAATAGCTTAAGCATATTGCTAGCTAGTTCTCATATTCTAAACTAACCTATCTCCATTAATCTGTGCGTCACGAGGTCATGGCCTACCGGCAAAGTTTCAGGGGACTCCCGTAGAAGAGTCCCCAGTGGCAGCTCATGGTGTCTCCCTGACTCTGCCTACTCTCTCTCTATACCTCTTTCAACCTGGCTTTACTCTGTTAAGCCATTGGCCAAAACAGTTTCTTTATTAACAAATAAAAGCAACATATATACAGAAGGACTTCCCACACCAAAAATGTGTTTCTTCCACTGGCCCTATCTAACCTTTTGGGTCTAATTTTAGGACCAAGTCATATTTCTTTCACTGTCTCTGATCCTAGAATCCTTTGAAACTGGTTTCAGGGTCAGGGTATATTTCTTTGGTTCTGGGCTCAGGACTAAAGTATTTCTTTCACTGGCTTGGGTCTCAGAACCAGAATAAGTTTCTTTCACTGGCTCAGGTCTCAGAGCCAAGGTGTGTTTCCTTCACTGGCTCTGGTTTCAGGGCCAGGGTGAGTTTCTTGGGCTGGCCCTTTTTCCCTACATTGGTGCTACTATTGTACCTGTGAGCATATCTTGTGAGGCTGTTTGCTAATCAGTGATACACTGCCTTTGGCAAGGGGTCCGCAACTCTTTGTCCCTTATTTTGCTTTTGGATGTTTATAATTGCGTTCCTCCATGCTGAGTGGAGCTTCTAAACCTAGTGAGGTTCAGATCTGAATCCCAGAGACTTTCCCATTAGGAGAATAGCTACTAGCCAATGAGAGTTCTCTACAAGACTGAAGAACAAATCTTGCCTCGTGCCAACGTAAGTGCCTTCTAAGTCATGGTAACGGTGCTGTACCTGATACGCATAATATCAGCGGAGATGGAGACAGGTCACAGCACCTTCTTCTTCTACTCTTGCAAATGCTATTTTTTTAATGAAGTGAGTTTTTATTAGTTTATTTTCGAGACAATGGTTTCTACTTATTCATTTGTGTATGTCTAGACCCAGTCTCAGGTATCACAGGCTGGCCTCTTATTCCCTCTATAACAAAAGATGTCCTTGAACTCCAGGTCCTCCTGCTTCCACAGAGTGCTGGATGACAGCTATGGAGCAGTGATCAAGTTTGCACTGGGGGTCAAACCTGGGGCTCTCTGGATCCTGGGCAAGCACTCTGGCCACTAAAGTATCAAGTGAGCTACACCCCCATTCTCCTAGCAGATTCTCCTTCCTCCCCCTTTTTGTCCCTTCCTTTCATTCCCTCCTGTTATCTACCCACAGAATTACTTTAGCACCGAAGACAAGGACTTTCTACCCCGGTGTTATTCACGTTGCCTGAGCTGAGAGAACTTGAGAGAGGCAAGCTGTCTTTACATTTTTATGTCTTCCTCTAGCTAAAGGCATCAAACTCTTTGCAAATGCATAATGGTTCTGCTAAGTGGGCCTCAATGACTGAGGGACAAACCAAGAAGTGTTTGACCCTCATTTACAATCTGAAAGACAGGAGTCTCCTGGTCATGAACATGGAGCTAACAGTGCTAAAGAGATTGACAAAATGCCTTTGCCAAATTCTCCCAATGACCTCCGGTGCCCAGGCACACAGAGTCCAAATACAATTTGTGAAGACACGGCGTACTTTTTGAAAACTTACAGTTTGATCCCCAGAAAAAAATCCTCATTGCAGTGACATTTCAGAGCTATGACCACACAACCCTGATAATGTAGAGCTTAGAGAATGGATTGCCTGCAAAGCCTACTGTGCTCCTTAGTCCTCAAGGAGAACTTTGGGGGAAACAAAGAAGAGAAATGACTGACAGGCAACAAAGAGAGCAGGAAAAGGAGGGGAGTCCCTTTGCTTTGGGATAAAAGCTTTGGCTTTAAATCAGCAGAAGTGCCATCAGTAGAGCTTTGAAGGTGATCCTCGCATCGAAGGCTCTACCCTTCTCCTGTTAGTCACCTCCTAAGGGTCTCTGGTGAGCCCTCCACTTTTCCAGATACCACACGCATCCATATTGACTCTCTCCCAGATTTCTCACATTCCCAGTGCATCTTTCTCTCCAATTCTGTTTGGAGACCAAGGTCCATCTAGCTTTCTCACCTCAGCTATAGGTGCCATTATGCCATCAGCTGGGGGACAGGAACTTCAGAGTTCCCAATGGAAGCCACATTCTGTTGTCGGTCACTCAGCAAATACTTGCTGTGCATCAGGCCCTTCCCAAGAACTGAAAGCATTCTGGAGAATAAAACCAATTTAAAAAAATGTATTACCCAGTCTCCTAGCCATCCCTGTCTTTCAGAGAACAGTTCTGTGGGTGGTGGTTCTGAGCATCCTTCCCATCCACGGGTGGTCCCATCTGGGCGAGTAAATCGTCTCAGATGGTTGGCATGCACTCCCTCCATACGTAGTGTTTGGGGAACGTTTATCCTTGAGCCTGAGTTCAGAATCTGATTGCTGCACCCCTTTGAAGGCTGTGTGTTTCTTATTTTCCTCCCACGTGTAAGTGATTAGACTTTTCTTCCATCTGGGGGTGTCCTCCCACTTCTGACCCTAAACGCTCAGGAAATTACAAAGCAAGTTTCCAATGGATGCTTTTGCCAGAGCCAGGCAGGTTTCCACATCTGCCAACTCATGTTCCCTTCATCCTGCAAGGCTGACACGGTACCAAAGGAGAAGTGGAGGCCGGGTGTCCCTGCTGACTGTAGGGCTGATGAGGGGCAGAAGCAAGACTGGCTTTCCTTACCTGATGAAACAC